TGTGTGTGTGTGTGTTCGTCTGTCCGGGTATTTCAACTCGCTAACCACGCAAGCTTTGAAGCTGAATTTTTGCCAGTGTGTTCCCCAGCCAGGTACCACCCCAGGACCGCGGTTTCAACCTTCACACACGTCTGGGCCCCGCGTACGAGCACGTGGAATTTTTGACGCGAAAATCGCTAACTCGGGAACGAAAAAAGCTAGAAAGATGAAACCTTGGGAGAATGTTCCCTACCCATGTATGACAAAAAGATTTCAAATTCAGCTGCCCAGGAGTGCCCGGGGCTTACGTACCGGCACGTGATAATTATGGCGGGAAAATTCATAACTCGAGAACGAGAAAGGCTAGAAAGTTGAGACTTTGGGGGAATGTTCCATGCTCATGCACGACCAAAAGCTTTCAAACTCAGCTCCTTAGGACCGCCAGGGGCTCACGTACGGACACGTGAAAATTTTGGCGCGAAAGTCACTAACCCCAGAACGGAAAAGCTAGAAAGCTGAAACTTTAAGGGAATGTCCCCTACTCAAGTACAAGCAAAATCCGGTGTTTAGAAGCGCCCGAGCCCATATACGAGCGCGTGGAAATTTTGGCGCGAAAGTTACTAACCCGGGGGCGGAAAAAGTTAGAAAGCTGGAACTTCATGGGAATGTTCCCTACTCATGTACTTATGGCGGGAAAATTCATAACTCGAGAATGAGAAAGGCTAGGTGTTTAGAAGCGCTCGAGCTCACATGCGAGCGCGTCGAAATTTCGGCGCGAAAGTTACTAACCCGGGAACGGAAAAAGCTAGAAAGTTGAAACTTCAAGGGAATGTTCCCTACTCATGTATGAGCAAAATCAGGTGTTTAGAAGCGCCCGAGCCCATGTGCGACCGCGTGGAAATTTTGGCGCAAAAATTGCTAACTCGGGACCGGGGAAAGCTAGAAAGTTGAAACTTTCGGGGAATGTTCCCTACTTATGTACTAGCAAAATCAGGTGTTAAGAAGAGCCCGCGCCCACATACGAGCGTGTGGGAATTTTAGCGCAAAAATGATTAACCCGGGAACGGGAAAAGCTAGAAAGCTGAAACTTTAGGGTAATGTTCCCCACTCATGTATGACCAAAAGATTTTAAATTCAGCCCCTTAAAACCGTTCAGTACTCACGTGCGGACATGTGGAAATTTTGATGGGAAAACTGCTAATTCAGGG